ATGAATGCATATATGCATTGTATTTTCCTTGAAGACAAAAGAATTGTTGGAATATGTAGCTACTAAAACTTTTGAAATGATAATTACAAGGAAAAAATAAATAAAAAATGAAAAGAAAATTTTTTGGAGATGGATTTAAGATTGCAATCTCTTAAAAAGAAATAAATAAATTACAAAAATTAGCAATGTTGCACTAAATGTGATTAAGAAGTCTAACTTGCCCATGCTCTACTCATATTATGTGTCTCACCTATAAAAATGGTGAATTCTTTTGGGTAATTCTATGCTATACACACACACACACACACACACAAATACGTGTATATATATGTATTGGTGGAGAATTAAAACTAAACTATTTACTGATCAGCTTCTTGTTTCTCTCTCAGCTAATCCTTCAGTGTTTGTAAATAATGCCAAATCAAAAAAGATTTCTGTGATCTCACTACTTGTTACCATTTTATTTTTCAGGAAACCACATACCATAGAGGCATATTCCTAGATGCGTAAGAATTAACATTCTTAAAGTGATAAGTTGTTCTTCTTCATATCTCCTGTTTTTTTATCTTAGCATTTAGCTTTTGTGGCACGCACAACCTATATGTATATGTGTGTATGCAGTGTCAATGTGCGCACAGATTGCAGTATCAGTGTGCAGGTGGATTGCGCTTGTAATTACTGAATGGAAGGTACTATCAGAGTAACCGATGTTCGGTGTTCCAGATGCTACAACATTCTGGGCATAAAAATTTTTAAGACTTGTAACTCCCCGTAAAATGTTTTTCTGTTCTAGTTTTGACTATGTACAATTCTTCTAAGTGAATGGTCTATTATTATTATTCAGATTCAAGAGCAAATCAATGTAGATATATATGTCAGAGTACCAAGATTCAGACTGGATATGTGAGTCTTGGAATGAATTAATCTACCAATGTCATATCTATAATGCAGTTGAGTAGTATTGATTGTCTTATGGATTTGATTCCAAATTTGTGAGCAGGATCAATCTCCATTTCTCGTACGGAAATTTGGTTACTTATCCCGATCCGCGCTTACCTTTATCTCTATCTCTATATATACATGTACGGTTGGCTTGACCCCTCTCTCTCGCTCGCCCTCTCTCTCACACTCACACACACACACACCCACACCCTGGCATGATAACCAAACCCAGTTGGGACCTTCTTGAATTTCAATCTTGAATGAGCAAGAACCTGAAACCATCGTCCACATTTCTTCATTTGCCCCTTTAATGCTCTGTTTTTGTATTCAATCTATCTCAGATTGCTAGTTCAGAGCTATACATGTTCTTGATCTGTGAAGTTAGTTGTTCTCAGAAAATTCTTGGTGCATGCTTCGGAGCTCCATTATCTTTAGAGTTTGATTGATCAAAGTTGCAAACAATGGCGGCAAGCGTCAATTTTATTCAACACGATCAACACTTACCTTTGTTTCTCTGCCATTTTTGTGATATGCACATTGCCTTACACTCAGATTACGTGTTCCTGGTACGTAAACTCTCTCTCTCTCTCTCTGTCTCTGTCTCTCTCTGAATTTGTGCTTGAATGCTCATTGCTGTTGAAAATGTTCATTCTTGAGGGTTCTTGATACATAGGGCAGAGTTTACTTATTGTCCACTGTGTCTGTGTGCACTGTGTGAATTTTGTGATGCCATTTCTAAAAGTCCTTCAAAAAGTTACTACACTTGGTCACTTCCAAAACATGAGTAATTTTAGATGTAAATTGGGTTGAATTAGATTACAAGAAAATTGTAAAAACAGAGTTCTCTCTCTCTCTCTCTCTCTCAACAAAAAAATGTTTAATAAAATATTTGTATATTTAATTCTAGTATCATAATGATGTAATTCTGAAACATGTAGTTCCATATATGAATGCACAAACACATGCACACACACACATGCATATATATTGTATTTTCTTTGAAGACAAAGAATTGTTGGCACATGTAGCTACTAATACTTTTGAAATGATAATTGCCAGGAAAAAAGAAATGAAAAAATAAAAGAAAATCTTTAGGAGATTGATGTAAGATTGCAATATCTTAAAAAGAAATAAATAAATTACAAAATTAAGCAATGCTGCTGTAGATGTGATTAAGAAGTCTTAACTTGCTCATGTTGTACTTATATTATGTGTCACACCCATAATCCTCCATTAAATTCCAACTTAAAACCAGTTTTTGTGGATTGCTTATCATTAAAAAAGGTGACAAAATTTGGGTAATTCTGTGATATATTTATATTGGTGGAGAATTAAAACTAAATAATTTACCCAGCTTCTTGTTTATCTCTCAGCTAATCCTTCAGTGTTTGTAAATAATGCCAGATCAAAAAAGAATTCTGTGATCTCTAAATAAACCAGTTTCTTGTTTCCAATTTATTTTTCAGACGCCATATACCTAAAAGGCATATTCCTAAACGTGTAAGAATTAACATTCTTAAAGTGATAAATTGTTCTTCTTCATATCTCCTGTTTTTTAATCTTAGCATTTAGCTTTTGTGGCACAAACTATATGTGTATGTGTGTATGCAGTCTCAATGTGTGTGCGGATTTCAGAATCAGTGTGCACGTGGATTGCGCTTGTAATTACCGAATGGAAGGTACTAACAGAGTAACCGATGTTCGGTGTTCCAGATGCTACAACATTCTGGGCATAAAATTTGTAAGATTTGTAACTCCCCATAAATAAAAAAAATTCTGTTCTAGTTTTGACTATGTACAATTCTTCTAAGTGAATGGTCTATTATTATTATTATTCAGATTCAAGTGCAAAACAATGAAAATATATATGTCAGAGCAGGAAGATTCCAAATGGACATGTGAGTCTTGGAATTAATTAATTAATCTACTAATGCAGTAGAGAGTTAGTGGTATTGATTTTCTTATGTATTTGTTTCAAAATTTGTGAGCTGGATCAATCTCCATTTCTGGGATGGAAATTTGTTACATCGTCACGATCCACGCGGCATACGTTTATTTCTCTGTCGTTTCTGTCAAATGCACATTGCCTTACAATTTCATTATGAATACCTGGTACGTAAACCGTGTATGTGTGTGTATAAATGATGAAGATTGTTTTAAAAAGATCACCATATTGTTTTTGCATAAAATCTTTAGTTTAATCAGCTAATGTTTAAAAATGGTGACAAAATTTGGCTAGCTAGCTAATTCTGTGCTATACTTGCACACAATGCACACACTGTACGTACACAGACACACATACATATATATTAGAGGAGACTGGAGTACACAGGGAAAACTAAATTATTTACTCAGCTTCTTGTTCATCTCGCAGCTAATCCTTCAGCGTTCAAAAATAAAAAAATGATTTGTGTCATCTCACAACTTGTTTCCAATTTATTTTTCAGGACAACAGCAATGGTAGAGCCATTTTCCTGAATGCGTAAGAATAATTAACATTTTAAAATTGATAAGCCGTTCTTCTTCATCTCTCCTGCATTTTATTTTAACATTTAGCCTTTGTGTGCGCATATATATATATATATATATTAGAGGAGACTGGAGTACACAGGGAAAACTAAATTATTTACTCAGCTTCTTGTTCATCTCGCAGCTAATCCTTCAGCGTTCAAAAATAAAAAAATGATTTGTGTCATCTCACAACTTGTTTCCAATTTATTTTTCAGGACAACAGCAATGGTAGAGCCATTTTCCTGAATGCGTAAGAATAATTAACATTTTAAAATTGATAAGCCGTTCTTCTTCATCTCTCCTGCATTTTATTTTAACATTTAGCCTTTGTGTGTGCATATATATATATATATATATATATATATATATATATATATAAATGCAGTGTAAATGTGCGAACGATTTGCCCAAGGTTTTACCACAGGGAAGGTAGTAACATAGTAGCCAATGTTTTCTGTTCCAAATGCAACAACATTCTGGGCATAAAATTTGTAAGATACTCCGGCCCCATAAATAAATGTTTAAATGTTCTAATTTTGAATTATATACATGTGTGTATAATTCTTGTAATTGAATGGGTATATTATTCAGATGCATGTGCGACACAACAACCATAGATGGGTGGCAGCAGGAAGTTTCCAACTGGATATGTAAGTGTTGGAATTATTCAATATTCTACCATTTATATGTATATCTATCTATAATATTGCAGTTGAGAGTATTATTGATTGGTTTCAAAACTGTTGAGCAGAATCAAGCTCCGTTTCTGGGATGGAAACTTGTGGCATCGGATTGTGCTAGAATAATTCAACTAGTTTGGAATACACCGTGCAGTATAGAATGACAGAGGCATCAATTTGAAGAGGGCTCACTGACACTGACATTCATTGCATTTGTAATTTTATATCCACAAACTTTGAATTTGTCCAATTTCATTTTCATCAAGTGAAAAATTATTGTCGTACATGAGAGAGCATTCAATTGAACTGTAAGGGGTTAATTCAAATGTGCATTTTCAAGCTGCTATTGTAAAAATAATTATTATTCTGCTTCATATTTGCTCTCTTAATGCTCATATATATATATATATATATATCTTAGTTGATCTTCAATTTACTTACTCCTAAATAAATACAGTAAATAAGTACGGTAGAGAAGTCCTTTTCTATAAGCTAGCTTGCCTTGTCTTGCTTTTAGTTAATCTTCCTTAATGGAGAAAGAGTAGCACTTTCAAGTCATAATTTTTTTTTTTTTGCTTAGTAGGTACAGAGGCTCGAATTTGGGCACGTTAAAATTTCATAAGAGGCTTTTATCCAATTGAACTCCGAGACATCTATCACTTTCAAGCTGCCTATACCAAACACATGATCATCTTCTTTAAATTTAGTTGAATATAAAACTAAAATTAGTGAATAGTTATAAAAATAATGATGTGACATATAGTGGAGACACGGAGATGTTTGTAGAGAAATTAATTTGAGGGGATCCAAATCCCTCCACTCCTTTTGCATGGTAGAGGGCAAAATGGGTATGAGCCTGTCTTGTAAAGTCAAAAAAATATACTCAAGAGAACAAGACCGTGTTTGGTAGCAATATATTTTTCCACGTTCCCGGATTTCCAAATTACTTTTGCTGAATAAATTAGGTGAATCATAACCGAAGCACAGCACCATGTGTATGTAACTGAGATGGCGAAAAGACTTGGTTCCCAGCTATTTGTGAGCAGTATACTCTCTCTCTCTCTCTCTCTCTCTCTCTCTGCGTGTCTGTGTTGGCTGGTAGGGTTTCCCAAAATCCCAAGTTTGATATACTTTTAATTTTCTTAATAGGATTGTCATTTTTCACAACGAATGACGAATTGAAGAGATTATTTTCGCCATTTGGTGTAGTCAAAGAAGGTAATATTTGTTGGCTTTGATTGGGTGTTTGATTCTCTCTCTTCGTGGTATTATTGAGGTTCAATTCGATGTTGATTTTGTTAAAATTCCTAATATGTTGTGTTTCTGTTGCAGCCAGGTTAGTTAAAGACCCAAGAACCCAAAGGCCTAAGGGCTTTGGTTTTGTCACATTTGAGTCTGAGGTTGAAGCGCACAAGGCATTGAAGTCCATGAATGGCAGGGTATTCTCTTTTTTCTTTCTCTGTGTAGATAATTTTATACATGTAAGTATGCATGCGTACATTTTCCAGTAGTGTGGATGTTAGCTCAGTCTGCAATAAGTGCTTTTCATAATTGAATATAGATCAGTGTGCCTTGTCTCATTTGTACCGATGTTTGTTGTTTAGTCTGATTTTGTGGAGATTATTACCTTATAGTTTGTATTCTTCTGGAGTTGTAGCTGATTAGCTTGGAATATCTTAGACTATGAGGGAAACTGATGTAGAACGGGTTGCCGATGATTATGGTTGTTCTGTTAGGATGCAGAGAACAGAATATAATACATTGATTCATAATATTTTTAGAGTTCTCTTTTCCTATACTTTGTGGATTCAAAGTTGTTCTCTCTTGTTCATTATTGAATGTTCATAGCTTCCGTATTGTCAGAAACTTTGTGGTAAATAAATCAGTGAAGAAGCGCTAGAAGGCCCATAACCAAGTAGAAAGTAGTGGTCATGAAAAGGAAATCTCCAAGACAAACCATGTCAAGAAATTCTTGAAAATCAAATGTATTGAATGTCCCCACATGATTTGGATGCACAATACATTATGAATCTCTAACATTTATTACACAAGTACTAATTAGATCTAATACATTGTGGTGCTTCTTGACTTGAGGTTCATTGAACGTGTATGTAATTATGACATTTTATTGATCCGACTTTTGAATGTGGAATGGATTCCTGAATAGGTTTAATGGATTACAGTTAAACAAGGGGAAGATGATAATCATAAATGGTGCTTCGAATCTGGTTCCACTTCAATCACACAAGATGAATCAGGGCACCTTTTAAAGAAAATGTGATTTTCAAGAAAGCAGCTAGTTGTTAGCATAGGAGTGGCGCCAATTCTGGCCCAAAATGGACCACGCTAAACGAGACTATTATTATATCCAATAAAATTGGTTTTTCATCTTCCGGAACAGCCATTAATGCATGTCAACAATTACAACATATAGGTCTTTATTTCAGTGATGAAGCCTTTTTAGCGTATAATTTTAAGACGGATGCTAGAATAATGTTGCAATAGTTATGAATGGTAGAAGGCAGGGTACAGTTGCTTCATGCAATGTCTTGATGTAGTAAAGAGATTATGTTATAATTATTCACTTAGAAATCTTTTAGAATTTTAATGATAATATAAATGAGTAGAATGTTGTCTTCCTTTATTTCGTACATTATTCGTTATTTATTTTTGTTACAACAGGTGATAATGGTTCAGATCTCCACCATTCTCACCGTTAAGTGCTGATGATACCGTATCAAATGTTTCTAAAGAAAGACTATTAGTTAATATTTCCTGTGTAATTTCGTTTCATACTTCCTTTACTTTTAATTTTTGCTTGTTTATTAGTTGCCACGTTCTATATTCTATATTCCTATGATATATCAAGTACCTCGAGTTTTGAATTGAGCATATTAAATTTGGAATCATTTCAGCTATTGAGAGTTACTTATGATAATTTTGACACGGGCTTCTTTGTAAATTAGTGAGCAACCAACACTTGTACCCTAAATCTTGCTTAAATTTACTATCATCACCGAGCAATGGCTTGAGTAGTATCTTCTCTACCTCCTCAATAGGAAGAAGTTGAGAGTTCAAGTCTCCATTGATGTCAATTGGGTGTATGTGTGTCTTATATCTCAAAGGAAAAAAAAAAAGAAAAGGCACAGACCTAACATGCTGCCCTAGTAAGGCGAGTTTGGATTTCCTCTTGGATGGATGAGTCTATTATGTGTTTGAAGAAATTATAGCATTTATTTATAGTGCAGTTCAGTTGGCTGGCCATTTTTTGGTAGGTTTTCTGATGTAGGTAGGATGGTTTATGGATTTCCATCCCAATAACAATGCAAATTGGGTAATCTTCTGCCAAACCATACTCATCCAAAGCTGATCCATTGCCTGCAGTGGAAGAAACTAGTGGAGAAGATATTTGCTTGTGATTGTTTGCAAACTAGCATTCCAGTTTAAATGCATTATTTTTTTTTTTGCCTTTTATTAATTTCTCTTTATATTTGCTGTGTGATATTTTACCTTATGGTTTTGGCTGCCTACATACTTTTGCACAAGTACGGGACCTAATTGGACGAAATAGGAAATACTTAGGCATGTCCTCTCTAGAGGCCATTGCTTGATGTATTGGAAAGTTCATACCATTAAGAGTGATAATGCAGATTCAAGCTTGAACGGAGCCCCCTTCAAACCCCCCACCCAAAAGTATCTTTGATTATGAGGAACATATTAAGTAATGGCATGCTAGAGTCTCTCTCTCTCTCTCTCTCTACTCTCAAATGTATGAAGAGAAGATAAGTTCTCTCTCTCTCAAATGTATGAAGAGAAGATAAGTTTTTAAAAGGCTACTTTGAAGATAATAGAAATGAACTGAATAAACTCTTCTTGTATTTTCCTAGTGTTGTGGTTTTTATTTTCTTCTTGTATTTTCCTAGTGTTGTGGTTTTTATTTTCTTTTCCTAGTATTGTGGTTTTTAGTTTCTTTACCTCTAATGTCAACAGTTCTCCGAAATATGCAGTCAAAATGCATTATTGTTGCTGCTTCTTGTGGTTAGATAAAGTTTTTATGGAAATATTCTCTTTTAAACCTTTCATAGATCTTACCTCTATTTTGTGTTGATACTCTGTACAGATAGTGGACGGACGTCTGATTTTTGTGGAAGTTGCAAAAACTACAAGGCCAGGAGATGGTGCAACCTCTTGAAATGAAGTTCATTTCTTTATAACATGTGGGGATCTATGTCAAGATATATATATATATATATATATATATATATATATCTGAGTCTCTATATAAAATATTTAGGAGTTTTTTATATAATAAAAATTAATGGATAAGCTCAGATGTAATTATTTGGATTTTGTCCCCTATTATTCACCTCAGATTAAGAGAGATTATAAGAGTTTTCCCCCTGTAAAACACTGTAAGAACTATAGTTTTGCTTGGAAAAATTTATGTTTATGAGATTGGTAAGATGCATTGGGTTCCAAGTGGCATGTTAGACTGCATTAATAGTAGGAAAATCAGATCCTCTGGAGTTCCTTGCAAATTTGAGCTGCGCTGGTTGAAAGGAAATTTGGAATCGATGTCCGGTGTCTGATCTATTTGGAGAATCATGGACCTGTGGATCCCTTATTCTATCATTTTGATAGAAACCTAGAATGCTCTTTATAGGTTGAAAAGATACATAATTGTGTATACATACTCGTAGATATCTAATTTTATAATACCTGTGGAGGGTAGTGAAGGCGAGGGAAGCAGTAATGGAGATAGTTTTATGAAGATGAGAGTAAATTGATGGAGAAGACGAAGTTGCATCCGCTAGATTATGGGCCAGAGCTTTCGTGTTCGTGACGCCAAGGCTTACATCCACGAGAGAAGAGGGGAGGTTCTTCTTGGGCAACATAATTGGCTGCTTCACTTTGTTATCAAGTGGAGTTGGTATGCAAAATGGGGAGGAAAGAGATTTTCTCTTACGTTGAGCAATGTGAAAGTCAGTGAAGCTAATCACAATTTAAATTATTCATTATTTGAGAGAGAAAAAATTATGAATTACAATGTGATTTAGGCATGTGCTCCATTTTCAAACCTTTAATCTACGAGGACCATGACCTTTTTGCACAAGACCCATTTCTTGCTTGGTTTTTCATCTGATAAGTAGAGATTATAGTGTTATTTTCTTATATACAATACACACAACGGCATAATAGTTGCATTTGGGACATTTAGGTCAAATTTTAACTATTTTTTTTTTAATCTCATGGGTGGCGATTGAAAAACGGTATGCATATAATATATAACCCCTTATGTTCTAAAAAAAATAAGTAAAAAACTAATTAAATGTGAAATGACTAAACTATCCATCTTATATATATATATATATAATATAAGGTGGTTGCGGGTAAAAAATACCCTTATGGTATGCATATAGAGTATATAACCCCCTATACCTTAACATTCAATTTTGGTGCAAACAATGACCTAAATGCTGAAGAGACTAAAATATCCCTCTACAATTGAATAAAAAATAAGTTAAAAAAACTAATAAAATGTGACAAGTGTATATATGAGAATTATCGGAAGATACAAGGGCAAAATGTCATTAAATTTTTAACGAAATAATGACCTCAAGCCTTTCTTTGCCACATTTTTTTTAAACTTAACGAACTTATATACTCAAAATAAAAGATATGGGTGTTATTTGTCCAAAATGTAAACATTAGTAATGTTTATCTCACTTTGCCCTTATAAGGGCATTATCGAAAGAGATAAGGGTGTTTTCAAAATTTTATATCTTAAAGAGTGAATTCAAGCCTTTCTTTGTTGATTTTTCAAACAAGAAGTTGGTGAAAACAATGTGATCAAGAATGATTCCTTTTATCTTACTCTTTGATAAATAAGATCATGAAGACTCAGGAGTACAAGATGGTATTGAATCTACAGTAAACATTGTAACCACCTAATTAGATCTAATCATCTAGCAGACAAAAAGAGTACATTAACCATTGATTGAACTTCCAAGGGTTGAAACCAACAATTAGCATCACCAAGCACACAATGTGAAATTATTAACTACAATTCTCTTTCTCACTTTGTAATACAACCAAAAAGTAGAAGAATAATATCCAGCAACCAACTCAGAACTTCAGTCCTTTATGGTCATCCATTGTGGGCATAATGGACGCGAATATTTCTTCCATCTAATAACTGAAAAAGAGCATCAACATTAATATTGAATAATAGTCGTTGAAAATTAAAAAAAAAAAAAAAATTGTACAGAAAATTCTATTAAGATAACTCAAAATTACCTGACCATCCATCTCCTTTAGAGCTTTGCTGGCCTCACTCTCAGAAGTGAACTGCACAAACCCATATCCTTTTGATTTGCCGCTGACATGATGACATATTACCCTTACTGCTAAAAATGATTTGTGTCACTAGCCTTAAAACACTAATCATATACAATAAATAATTTACTGCGACGGTACCTTCAATTATTTCGCCATGCTGCCCAAAAGCATCCTTTAGAACAGCCTCATTGGTATCATAACAAAGCCCTGCAACTCAGAAAGTACATCCCACTCATAAACCAAAAATTCATCGTTGTAAACCAAAAACTTCTATAGTTTTCCAAGAAAGCACCCAATTTCCATACTGCACTAATACGTCTCCGAAAACATACAACTGATACATATTAAGGACATTGCTGCAACTTTTCATATTATAATGTTCAAATATAAATACAAGAAAGAAAAATCTGTGTAATGTTCACACCATATCTATTTTACAATCACTAATGATGCGGCATAGGAACCAAAACCCGAGCTTCCTCCCACCTCAAGGAAGAAAAAAAGGATATGTTCATGAACTCCACGATCTCCATATAACCATTTACATCTTCATTATTTTTGGATAATAAGATCCGGATTGGGATTTTAACAACCATATACTGTATGATGCGATGTTATTTTTTGTGACTTGAACACAATTGTAGTTATAGTTAGAAGAAAATAATCAAAACTAGCCTGCAGCAATAGGTGACCAGATTGTTAAGGACTAAGTGAACTTACTATATATGTATCAAACATATAAAACAGTGGAAGTACTGTGCATTTCTGTTCAGTTAGTGGTTCAACAAATAAAATGGCATTTGGGTGTAAAATAATAGATGTTAACACCTGGTTAGGATACTGATGTTAGGTCTAACATTTCATTGTAATCAAGGAAGTGAAAATTGACGCATAACTAGTTAGATGCATTTTTTGCATGCAATCAGAATGGAAAAGGATCATACTGGTGTTATTTGACAACCCAATTCAATACTAAATCCTGAATGAATTAAATTCAATTAAGTGCATTTAATAATACGAAATGGATAAAACTTAAAATGGGATGAAATTTGAAGTGATGGAAACTTCACTTAGCAACACTGAACACTTAAATTCAAGAAAAATAAAAAATTAAAAACCAAAATCAAAATGGTTCACTTAAAATTTCAGCACTTGAACTTCAGCTCTTAAAATTTTCAGTAGTTAATTCTTAGTTTTATCAAATAGCACATTTGTCAAACGATGGCATAACATTTCTACTGTGAGATCGCAAGCCACAATATAGTATCTTGAAGTTCCCTATCCATTTTTCAAAGACAAAAGTATTTGAGTATCCTTAGTCTTGGTAATGTTATTTGATGAACACAGATTGATGCCTTCAGTGGCCAGCAAAACCCAGTGATGAAGGAAAGCCATGAACAGCTTAGTCTCAACGCAAGCCATCAACTATAATTAGTGGCCAAAATAAAAAAAAAAAAATATGCATGTTTCAATCAATATTCCATTGACAGCCAAGAGAGAGGGACCTCACAATTATACTATATTTTGGTGCCCAACTTTCCTTATTGTACAAGGGTTCTGTCATTCACTAACTTAATATGAACTTTTCAGATATAGTTTAATGCTCAAAAGTTTTTTAGCCACTCTGTAACAAATTTCTTTATCTTTCAATAATAAGTAATCACACAAATAAAAAAAACTGTTCTCAATGCATCTAAATTTCCACTAAATACATAACTTTCAAGCCAAAAAAAGAAAAGAAAAGACTAGTACTGTTAAAGTTATAGACACAAATGCTGATTCAACTTAATATAACAATAATAATTTCAAAAAAAGCAAAATGAAAATTTCAAAGATACATAAAAAATCAAGTTTTGTGTGGACGGAAATGCATATATTAAATAACATATACTAAATGATACAATGACACTCCGTTTGATTTCAGAAAAATCGAAGGAAAATGAAATAAAATTCAGAGCATAATTAGAAATCAGAGAGAAGTAAAGAGGATAGAGAGAGACCTCCAATGAACAATTTGGAGCAAGAGTGGCGCGAAATAATCCACCTCGTGGAAAGGGATGCGTCAAAGAGACGAATACCATTTGAAAAATGTAATTTCCTTAACATGCAAACCCTCCACTCTGTAACAGGTTAGAGAGTGTGTGAATTGGGAAGATGGTGAGGTCACCGGATCCGAAAAACCAGATCTTTCTTAAGTATCGGGTTGGTGAATAACTGTTTCCCGCCGGCGACTAAAAGAGGGATTCGGCAATCAGGATGCTAGGGTTTCCGCTTTCAAATATAAAATGGACCTTGTTGGACTCAGCTCCAGATTGGGGCGGGTTGGAAAAATTGAGCCCGTATTCAAATTACTTGACATGTTTGAACTCGGCTGATTTGAGTCGTGACTCGTGATTAATAACGTTTTGGCTCACAAGTCTATTTTTGTTTAAATTGTTCTCAGACATATGAAAGTGTAAACAATTAATGAATCTAAACGAGTTTAGAAATAGTGATTGAGTTCGACCCGTATATTTAACGGGTGAGACTCACCCCACTGTTAGGGGTATACTAGACAATTCACTCACACCACGTGTATTATTCTCGTTGGTTCTACGTTCTTTGTGCGTTGCAGTGATTTATGACTACCACCGGTGCACTCCACCATTGATATTTAGAAGGCCAAGGTCTGAATTTCGACCAGGGTACCTTTATCTGTGAGAGAAATCTTTACGAGTCTCATCTTTATTTATATCTCTGCAAGTATATATATATATCACCGTCGCTTTAAATTTTCTGTCTCCGCTTGAGTTCAATCGTGCCGATCATTTCTCTATACCATGGTGAGCCTTTTTGAATTTCTCGTACAGTTCTACTTCGCATGTTTTTTAGGTGCTTCGTTTACATGTATGTATTTATTCTTATATATGCATGTATACTGTTCTTTGAATTTGTATTATTTTCGTGTTTGATCTGTGATCTCCATGGTACCTTATCTGGTTCAGGTTTCACTGACAGTTTACACTTATTGTTCCGCTGAATAGATCTAATTTGCGTTAATTCTGAATTTTATGTTGATTATGGTTTGTCTAGTTGTTTGATCTTTATTTGTTGGATTTGATGGTTGATTTTAATTGGATGCTGTGCGATTGATTTCAAATAATTTGAAATGTATATGGTTAAGAATTTAATTAGTGACTTTTAACTATTAATTTATTTTTTGATCACTTGGCTTGTAAAAAATGTCTGTTTGATCTTCCTTTTTACTGTAAATCCTTACAGATGTTTGATTTGTCTCTGAGTGCAGTGTCCAATTGTTGTTTTTGCTTAAACTTTTACTTGGTTTCTTTCTATAACTGATGTTTTTGTAATTGGATGTGGATTTCAATAGGGGTTGCTACTGCTGCTAACCTTAAAAATAATGTAAAAGTACTTCAGCGTGTTTGAATATGTCGTAGGAGTCGTATTCGTGAAATTTCTGAGACATTCTAAATTGTGTAAATTGCAGATGAAAAAAGTTCAAGAATGTGTGCTTTTCTTGAATGAAAATTGATTTCATTGGATGAGCATTCAATGAGGGTCCCCCTCTGGGGCTGTTAATTTCAACTTATGTGTCTTTGTTATAACAACTTTTGGTTGCCTATTAAGTATTAACTTCTAAACATTGATTGAGCCATGAATAAACCACTAATAGAAAACAGGAACCATGAATCTGATTTCCTACTGCTTGCTTTGGTGATCTATTTTTTATTGTTATCACTTGGTGCATGGTGGGTCGATGTGCATTACTCAAGTAAAGCCTCTGTAATATGTCTTACCTTTGCACCAATATATATATGTTTGTATATATTGTGTGTGTGTATGGGATTGGGATAGATGTTGGAGCTACACTGCAGGAGAAGGTTTTTCTTCAAACTTTTTATGGGTGTGTTTTCATGGTTCTTTGTGATTATTGCAACATTTTTATCTTTCATTAAAACAAAATCCAAACTTCTCTCAGATGTTTGTTTTCTCAGTTGTCACCTGTTTATTATAACCATGCGACTATTAATTTGTTTTGATGGCCAGCCCACATGTTAAATTAGTTCGATCGCTGGTTGACTTGGCTGATGCAGGTTGGGGTTCACGTTATAATGTTATATTAAATATTAGTAGTTCCTAAATCTGCTTTAGATCAGATAATGGCACATGGATTAATAGTTGATGATGGTATCATTGATTTTGAGGATCTAATTCCCCAAACATGTATTTCAGCCTTCTTTTTTTCACCATGGAACTGTGATGTTGGGGATTAATTAGTTGAACATTGTAAAATTGGTCGTATGAGGAGCAGCATTTTTTAAGGGTGATTGGTATTGGTGGAAGTATATGTTGGTATTTTTGGACCTCCATTTTTTCTGTCTAGTATGGGATTTTTACCAGCTTGTTATTTGCTGCTCGGAGCAAAAGTATTGTCTTTTACTTGCTAATGTGAATCTTTGTGGTTGTAGCTTTTGTTATATGTATAATTATGACAAATGTTCAGAATGAATATGCTGCAAAAGATACAAAGTAACCAGTTTTATGGTGCAATAAGGGCTGGTTACAGGTTTGGATTTTAGTTCAAAGGCTGACCATCCTATCTTGTGTGCGTCTGTATGAAACTTGAAATGGGCCAGCATTTAATTCTGTGCAAAACTTAGTGTGATGATTTAGTGTTTGGGGGGCATACAGTTTGAGATGGCAGATAGGATTCAACTTAATTGGGAAAATAGCAAATCCTATGTAGATCATCAGTTTATCATAGAAAATCCTATGTGAGACTGGATCCTCATTTATTATCATCAGTTTTGCATCAACTGAAATCTTCAAATGTTTAGTTTGTTGATGACTCTGTAGATCACCAGTGGTGAGAGAATTGAATCGTCCTTTATTTATTATGTTAAGTTTTGATGGATGTGAGACAATAAGAGGATGTTGATGCAGCAAATTTTGAAAACGTAGGATGGAACGAGGATTCAACTGTTATAAGTTCATATTTTAGTATTTGTATATATTTATATAGGGCAAATTTATAACATTGATTGATTTGCTCGAATTTCTATGTTTAACACTCAGATGATGAAGCTCAACTAATTTCTACTTTTTTAGGTATATTACTGCTTCAACTCCTTTTTATTTTTATTTTTCATAATTGGTATTGTTGTATAGCAAAAGAATAAAACGATTAAATACCGATGCACATAAGGCATACCCTCAATCAGAAAGGAAAATCAAAAACAAAGGAAATTAGACCAAAAGAAAAGGCCCATTTCCAATACACAGAAGTAACACACACCCTATACTGAGACAAGGTCATTAAGAGTAGCATTTTGGACTTCTAGACACTCCATAAGAGTGTGTCTAGCAGTAACCTCCGAAGACATTGCAATATTGTCATGAAGTCTAGCGTTCCTCTCCCTCCAAAGATGCCATATAGCTGCTGCAAACAAAGACTTCAGGATTCTAGAATTACGATAGTGCTGATGCATCCACTGAAATAGCTCCCACACAGAAAGAGCATGAGAGAATTGCTGCATATCCCATCTGAGCACACCCCTATCCACACCCAAAAACCTTGAGCAAAAGAACACGTAACAAAGATATGATCTCTGTCATCAATATTCATTTTACAATTTGAACATCTCGCTGCCAGTTGAACTTTTCTCTTCTGTAAATTACACATAGATGGTAACTTATTTGCCATCATAAAAGCTGTTGTGGTTGACCACCGAGGCCTGGCCTTATTCCGGCATAACTTGAACCATTGCACTTTATCTATAGCATTCCTACACCTGCTCCATTTTGAAAGAAAACTGACCTCCAGCCCACACAAGTTTATCTCCATTATTAGAAATAGCAACTGTTGACAGAAATTGCCGTAAAGGCAACAAATCGTCACTCTGCAACAGCTGCCAATCCCAAGCCCCATTCCGAATTAAGGAACTCAAAGAAGCATCTCGCTGCATCTGCAAACTTCTTATCATCCTATGCCCAAACTTAGCAACAACAGTCTGCCCTGCACACCAAGGATGCTTGAACAACAAAAAACTATGCCCAGTGCCTATTTGAAACTCACAATGCTGCAGCATGATATCTCTAACTGATAACATAGATTTCCACACAACAGAAGATACCATCCTAGGAATCGCAGACCAATAATTACATTTGGAAGAATACTTATGTTGAAACCACGATATCCACAACCTATCTTTGCTGGTCAGAAAATCCCACACAAGCACGCATTTAGATGCTACCTGAATATCCATTAACTTTCTGATGCCTAGTCCTCCTTCATCTTTAGGCCTAGTGATCATATCCCATTTGATCAAGTGAAGTTTCTTTGCATGCTCCTTACTGCCCCATAAAAAATCTCTGCATAATCTCTGAATTTGATTAATGACAGCCACTGGAACATCAAATATAGAACACTAATATTGAAAAATAGGGGTAACTACAGCCTCAATAAGCTCCACTTTACCTGCAACAGATAAAAGCTTTGCATTCCAACACTGAATTTTACTACAAATCTTATCAATCAAATCCTTGCAAACAGATCTTTTTAAACCATTTGGACAGAGAGGAAGGCCTAAATATTTCATTGGAAAAACCTCTTCCCTGCAGTGTAAAACCTTGAGCAAAGAAGCCTTCCTTCTAACTGCCCTAGAAAACAGCACACTACTCTTGCTAGGGCTAACTTGAAGACCAGTAAAACATTCAAATTTCTTGAAAATATCAAATAAAACCCTGGCATTGTGAATAGAACTTCAACTCCTTTATTTTCTCTCTCTTTATTTTTTTCCCTTCTTCAAAAAGTGTGTGTTGCATGCTTGATGTGCGTAGGCTACATGTCTTCAAATTTTTTTTTAGACATGTATGTACCTTGTTCAACACATTTCAAGGAGTGTTGAAGGAATGCATTGTCCAAACATGGTGTCAGAGAAACATGTTCAGAATTGTCCGTGTTCCATAGGGTGAGGAAGACGTGGTTTGGAATATGAGGCACAAGTCACAAATTATGAATACTTGTAGCCTGTATACATTTCTTTACATGTTATGTGTCATGTTGGTTATTAAATATATGGATCACTAGCAAGATTAGAGCAAAATGGTTGAATTGTAATGATATGTTGTGTTATCGGGACATAACCATCGTTACTGAAGAAAAGAGAGGGAGCCATTTATTGGATGTGAGCTTTAGGAATGTCGTACAAGTTCTATAATCAATGTACTTTTCTTGTTACCACTGAATATGTTGTAAAAGGAGGTGGTAAAGAAGAATTAACAAATTATGAAGAACATAAATTGTAGCGAGGATGGATTCTGTTTCTAGATCCGGGAAAATATGTTCAATAACTACTTTTTAAGTGTCAAATGAAACAACTTTACCCACTGGAAATTGGTGTTACATGCAAACTCAAGGGTTATTTTGTAGCGTCTTCAGAAGCCTTTCTAGAGGTCTATATATGCATTCTCCCTTCATATTGTTTTGTCATGTATCCTATGTACAGGCTAACGCAACATCAGGAATGGCTGTGCATGATGACTGCAAGCTAAAGTTTTTGGAGCTGAAAGCAAAAAGAACTTATCGCTTCATAGTATTCAAGATTGAAGAGAAGCAGAAGCAGGTTATTGTGGAGAAGGTTGGTGAGCCAACTCAAAGCTATGAGGATTTTACTGCAAGCCTTCCAGCTGATGAGTGTCGATATGCGGTCTATGATTTCGACTTTGTGACAGAAGAGAATTGCCAAAAGAGCAGGATTTTCTTCATAGCATGGTAATATTGTATGTCAACAATTATTTTCTACTCTTCAAAACTCACTCTCAGACCATTTTTGTCTATTTGCTATATATTTGTATGGCATAGGTCCCCTGATACATCGCGGGTGAGAAGCAAGATGATTTATGCAAGTTCCAAGGACAGATTCAAAAGAGAATTAGATGGGATTCAGATAGAGCTGCAAGCAACTGATCCAACTGAGATGGATCTTGATGTCATCAGAAGCCGGGCAGTTAAATAAATACTCTCTGGTCTTGCAATGAAATCCTCGGCGCTCTTTTCTTAAGAGAAATGTTAATAGTTTATGGGAGTATGAAACCTGGTCAAGACATGGCATTGTTTTGTTGTTTTAATTTACAGTCTTCTCTTCTAGAACAGATTCAGTAAAAGATATTGAGCATATTCTATGATGTTTCTGGTGTGGAACAGTGGAACTTATGCAATGAGTGCAACACAGCGTCTCTCTACAATCGTGTTATTATATGGGGTTGGACGACTCTCCTTGGTTTGTTTTTGGAACTTGTGAAATGGATGTTTAAACTTTATTTTTACATTTTTCCGTACTAAATTGAGAATAGATGAAGTTATTTGACTTCATGTAGAATGTAGGGAAACAAGTGAATTCTCTATTATTATTGTATGCTTATATAAGGCTATACCATCTTGCCCGGGTTACGAACGAGATGACAAAACGCATAATCTAAGATGAGATTTCATGTTATTTGCGGATAATATTTTTCGTTGATAAGATTATAGAATGAGTTAATGCCAAATTAGGGGTTTGGAGAGGAGCTTTGTAACTAAAAGGGTTTAAGACTGGGTATGAATAAAATTGAATATATAGAATATAACTTTAGTAAATTACAACGGGATTAAGAATCAACTAGTACAAAAAAAAGTTTACATTTTTTGCAATTTAAGCACAATTATTCACAATGATGTAGAAATTGGAGAGGAAGTTAATGGAGGAGTGCGTTTGGTATATTATGTGATGAACATTTCTCAAGGGAAGTTTTATTGTCACTAGTGGACCAATCATACTTCATAGCACCGAATGTTGGAACAGTAAGGAAACAACTTATGCATAAAATGAGTATGGTATGGATATACGATACGATAAAATTACAATTAGAGATAAAATGAGAAAAATCAATTAAGATGGTTTGAACATGTGCTAATAAGTGTTTTAAAGACTAATCATAGGAGAAAAGGAAAACCAAAGTTGACGTGAATAAAGTTAATATATATATATATATATATATATATATATATATATATATATGATAACATGTGAATTGAAAAAAAAAAAAAGGTTCATGTTTGTTTATAATATACTAACAATTCTATATACAATATATGAAAGGTGAAGGGACGGATCCAGAAAGTTGTGGGAGGGGGGCAAAAATGAATTTAGTGTATTTTTTTTGTAATTTTAGTGGGACAAAGTAAAAATTTTATAAGTATGTAATTGCAAAATAAAAAAAGTTAGTGATATATAATAGTAAAATAAAAAAATTTCAGTGGCGGTAATGGTGGCTTTGTCTGTAGAGATAAGACTGCATATATCTAATCCTCTCCAAACTCTTCAGTGGCGGTGTTTCATTCAAGTATCAAGGTTTGTTACAATATTATTATTGGCAAACGTGGTATATCCGAATCATCAATATATATATGTATATATACACACACACACACATACATACATAAAGCACTATTTCATATTTTCCCCGTCCAGATAAAAGAGGGGGGCAATATAACTTGACAATCAGCGAGAAACTTTGCCATGACTAGTAAAACTAACCCCTAGTAATTGAGAAAAAAAATAAATTGTCTGTTGTTGTATAATTCTAATAATTTTGAATAAAACAACAAAATGCTACTTCTTTGTAAATATTTCTCATTAGTTTAAATTTTGCAATAATTGAGCTTCACCTTTATTTAATTTGTGATAATGAAAGCCCCTTTAAAAGACTTTTATTTATTTTCTTTGTTTGTTCAATATCAAATTTGTTGGAATTTTTAAAAATTGTAAATTTTCAATTCTATTTTTGTACTTGGAACTCAAAAAAATTTAATTATAGAAAAGGAGGTCTTGAAAGATGATTATAAAAATTGCAAAGGTAAAATTAGAAAACATTGTACAAAAACAAATTTTACGAATTTGAAATTTTTGCCAGAAAAATTTAAAATTATTTATTATTATCTTACTATATTTTTAGAAGAAAACTATTAAAAAATAATTTTGTATACCTTTAAAATTAATTTTAAACTTGTAAGCGTTTTTTTTATTTATATATATATATATAAAATGGCTTCTCGAAAGGTAAACGGTTATACTTTGTAGGAAGGAAAAAATAAGAGATTATGTATTTCTCTGTTTTTTTTTTTTTCGGTTAGATAGAAGAAAAGAGAAGAAGTTGAGAACTTATCGTGTTCGTTAAGGAAGAAGGTAAAAGAGAGTTTTAAATTATTTTTAACATTATACTTATTAATATCTATAGTATTGTAATTTATGAAGGATAATATAATAATATTGCAACATAAAACTTTTTTAATAACTCATTTATCCCATTATCAGTAGGGGTGCACATGCTTCGGATTGAACCGGTTTGGAAATATTTTGGAACCAAATCGTTCATAACAGTTTTCATAAAAATTGGTACTGAATCAAACCGAATCATGAAACCAATGGAAACGGTTTGGTTTGGTTTGGTTCGGCTTCACGATTTTAGTTTTTTTATAATTCAATCTAATATATATATATATATATATATATAAAATAATTTCTATTATAATATAGTTTTTAATTTTATATTATGACATATAATTGAGTAGTTAAAAGATTAATCTTATTATTCTATTTTTTATATAGTACAAAATATATAAATATATATACAATTTATAAAACGGTTCGGTTTGATTTAGTATGGTCTTATAGAATTTCAAATCGTAACCAAACCGTTTATAAACAGTTCCATATTTTTGGAACTGTAACCGAACATAATCGTAAAAAAACTGAACCAATCCTCTTGATTTGGTTTGGTTTGGTTTATCGGTTTAACCGTTTTTATACACCCCCAATTATCAGTTTTCTACCAAACTAAAGAAATTTGTTCTTTCTTTATATATTTTTTTCACCACTCTTTTTAATTTTTTATCGAACAAAGTATTAAATTAAATTTTAGATTTAATGTGAGATATTTATCAGAAGTGTGAATTTGTTGTATTATGAAAATTGTTACAAATTTTATTTATTTATTTTTATTATCCAACCAAGAAATTCAGACTTCTAAGTCCATGAACTCTCTTTATAATCTTTGTTTTGAAAAGAGAAAAAAATGCCATTAGGCTACTTGACGTGGTATTATTCTTAAAACTTACTATTGCAGACTTGCAGTAGTATTTAAGGGTGAAAAATAAGATATTGGAAATTTTTTATTATTCCAAATCTACAACTCCCACGTCCTCGATCCGCTTCGTCGCATTCCAGCAATGAGACGTTGCCACGTCAATATATGAGCCTTAAATTGCACGAAAATCCTGCTTTCACGCATCCTCTCTAAGCCGTCGATTCTCATTGTAACTCGAACGGAAACGAACGGATGTCGTAGTGCCAAGTCATCAATCCGCGTCTCGCAAATTCCTCCAATCATAATAAAGTACAAACAGCTATAAATACGAAACGCAATGCTAACACTTCATCTCAGAATTTCCTCAACTTTATTAGCATCTCTCTCTCTGTGTTTTCAAGAAAATCCTAATGGCGCCCAAGGCAGAGAAGAAACCCGCTGAGAAGAAGCCCGCCTCCGAGAAGCCAACGGAGGAGAAGAAAACCGTCGCGGAGAAAGCCCCTGCGGAGAAGAAGCCCAAGGCCGGCAAAAAACTGCCGAAGGAGGGTGGCGCCACCGCCGGAGACAAGAAAAAGAAGAGGTCGAAGAAGAGCGTTGAGACCTACAAGATCTACATCTTCAAGGTCCTGAAGCAGGTCCACCCTGACATCGGGATCTCAAGCAAGGCCATGGGGATCATGAACAGCTTCATCAACGATATCTTCGAGAAACTCGCTCAGGAGTCATCCAGGCTCGCCCGGTACAACAAGAAGCCCACCATCACCTCTCGGGAGATTCAGACTGCTGTGAGGCTTGTTCTTCCCGGTGAATTGGCCAAGCACGCTGTCTCTGAGGGCACAAAGGCGGTGACTAAATTTACCAGTTCTTGAATTAGGGTTTGGGTTCGAGGGAGGGGTTGCTGAACCTTTTGGGACTTATGGAGATTTGGATGGCAAACTAGGGTTAGGGTTCTTTTTGGTCTCTCTCTACTGTTGGTACCTTTCTTTTGGTTTTTTGTTGCTTTGAATTATATGTTCTGATGTAATTACTGGTTGATTTAGGAATGAAAATGTTCTTGACCTAACATTAAATTGCCTCCTGTTTCACTGGTTATATTTGTTTGGGCGCTGGGAATGCATATATGCACACATAGATAGTTTCGTCATTCTGCTTGTGTTTTGATGTTTGGATGTGAAATTTTGGATCTACAGATCTGATTTGATTTTATTTTACTGTACCTGTCCTGGGTTGTAATATCTTATACGGTATTCTTCTCTTTATTGATTGTGTTTTGGATGATTACATGTGCTCTTAGAATTGTTTTGATGGTTTCTTTTAGTAATTTATGATGGGTTCTCTCTAATGTTGGTTAATTTGAAGTTATTTCATGGCGACATGAGTGTGAACTGTGTGATGGAATTATGAGGACCAACATGGTGTTACCCCTTGGTTTAGCTGTAATCATTTAAGTTGCCAAAGACAAGAACCCTTGTTTAAGCTTGACAGTTAAGAAAATTTCAATGTAGTTCTTCAATCGCCCTGAATGGTTGAATCAAAGTTTTATTGAGTTGTGTTAAGATTATTTTTATTATGATTTGAAAAATATTATTAAAGGCTAGGTTTGTCTTCAATCTTTCCCTCCAAGTACCAAGTGTAGGTTGGACAATACACTGCTAAAGCTTTTTTTGTAGCATCTATAAATGAAGGACTGTTGACTAGGGTACCATGTATATGCAGTTATAAGATGCTAATGTGAATTGGAGATGTGGAAAAGGGGGGCACATGCTGAATTACTGTTTAAAGGTTGTACTCTGTATCAATGAATACTTCCATTTATCACCCTGAATAGTTGAAGCTAGGTTTTATTGAGTTAAGATAAATTTTTATCATTATTTGAAAAATAATATTAAAGATTAGGTTTTTTTTTGTGTGTAGCATCTATAAATGGAGGAAGGTTGGTTAGGGTGCCATGAATATGTTCATTGAAATATATGAATATGGAGGTATAAGATGCTAATGTGAACTGGAGATGTGGAAAAGGACTGCACATTCTTAATTACTATTTAAAGGTTGTACTCATATCAATGAATACTTAAATTATTACTTCACTTTGCCTTTTTGAGTGTAAAAAAATGTCATTATTTAGAATTGGTCCTGTCCATGTTGGTCGATTGGAAGGGTGTACTGAAGACATCCTCAAGATTTGGCATTATGATTGCATGTAGCAGCAACCCTCTTTTTGAGAAAGCAATACCATATGAATAGAAAACCTTTGTTGGGTTTGGAGTTTGGACTGATGTGGCAAATCATTTTTATTTATTCATTCCTAAGAAAATGATCTGCGTGTTCTGTTAATTTGGAAATTAGTTCACGTTAGGTTACATGATTTTGGTATGTAGTTTTTGAATTGTAAGCAATTATTTTTCATTGTATTGTGAAAAACTTCTTCTTTTTTATTTTATTAACGTTGCAGTATTCATTTTGGTTGTTGAGTATAATACTTTTGAAATTCATTAAAGGGAAAAAGTTGTGGAATTCAATGAAACATCAGTTCCAGTTGTGCGGATTGTGCCGGGTGGAGTATGACTGTTAGACTGTAGAAGGAATGTTACCCTGCAAATAGATTTTCGAAAGGTGTATGTAATTGTTTAGGAGTATTAAATTTTTATAAATTGGAAGTCATTGATCAAGATTTATATTCTTCTTTTTGCATTCCTCTTTTTGGTAGTTGTGAGCAACATAAAAGGAAAAGGCATTTTTCTCACTTCATAGATCATTGATCAATAACTTCGTTTGTCAAGGTTTGTGATTGTTTCCCTTTTAAACAAACTACCAGGCCTCAGTCCCAAAAAAATTTCTGAGATGCAGTGATCAATCAATTACATTAATAAAAGTACCTAATGTTCCACTTTTCTAAATATATTATTCCTGGTGAGCATTTTTGTTGACTTTGAAGTATGCTGTCCTTGTGTTAATGCTACTAGGAACTATGTAGCTGCCTATCATTAGTGTCTAACATCATAACTGATTTGTTATTAACAATCTATTTATTGTAGAATTTAAGAGGGGTTGAACATCCCCAAGTTCTGACCTATGTATGTGTGAGAATTGAGATACTTATTTTTCCATGTAGTTATTCCCAGTGTTCATTCTAGATTGTTATTTTAGTATTATTGGATATGTTTTGGAGTTTGTTTTAAATTATTAAGGGTTGGTGCATGCGAAAGCCCTTGGTCAGTTGCAAAGGCACACTGAAATCTGGAACATGTCACAGAAGAAGATGGCTGCCTAGAGAGTTGGTGATTCTGTGCATTTATAGGCTTATGATAGATTTGTACAGAGAAATAACATAAGACAACCCGCTACTGGAAGGAAATTGGTCTCTTCAATAGAATTTGACATGCATGCCTAGTCATTTAACTCTGTATGCCTAGTCATTTAACTTCCAAGATTTTCTCGTGACTGTATATGTGAATATTATATATATGTTGGAACTTGGAAGTAAGCTTGTAGGATTAACCATTAAACAAAAATCATGTACAGGTTATAAGAGGGGCATGCTCCCTGTACAATTATGCCAGGGCTGAAGCTAAAAGAAAAGGAAATGAACAGGTCTACTTCTTTTAGCATAGGGGTGTCTGGGGCAAGTCTCCAAGTGGAAGGTGGGGAGCACAAACACCACTGAGTTATTTCTTGGAGGTATATTATAATTTTTGTTATTCTAAACAATGCTAATATATATATCAATATAAATTCTTCTCAATATAACTCAACAAAACCATGAAGTACACCTTCTTGGGGTTGGCTGGCTATCATATACCTTGTAAAAAGTCAGGTTTATCCATTTTTTTTTTTTTTTTTAATTTTTTTTTTTCAGTTTTAACCATCTTCTAATTTCTTGCATGTTCTCTCATATTTGCATTAGCCTTGCATTGATTTCTTACTTAAGTCATGTTTGTTTCCGTTAATTACCAGGAAAAATTTACTTACTGTTGCTGGTATGGTACATCACTGTTGTGCCGGATGGATACCGGCTTGGAAGGAATTTTGCAATCTTGTTTGTAATTTGTGACACCTCATTTTTCACATATGCATTCAATTCCTAACCAATATTTTCTTGTTTTCAATTGATTGGTGTTCGTCCCGATTTTGGTTTATTCAATTTTTTTTTGACTGTGTTGCTTGTTGATTGTTGATTGCTCAATGTTCAGGACCATGTAGAGTAGCAGACATCTGTAATGATCTGCAAAATTTTTCTTTTGCCTAGCTAGTCTATTGAATAAATTGCCACCTAGGTGGTACGTTATGTCTTTTATATCTTGAACTTTCGGATATTGTTTACGTAAATAGTTTTCCCACTTTATAATGAACTAAATATGTGATAAATATTTGTAATACCAACTGCACTTATTCATTATTTTGAAATGAATTTTCTTTTGTTTCTCTGTATTGATAGTTAATTGTTGCATCTGATATCACGATATTAGTCAGCTTCACAGGATTTTGAGCGCTCTGAAATTGTTACAGTCCACAAACTGGAATTTATGAATCTTGTCATGTAGGTTTGACATTACTGTACTTGTGTTGTCAAACATTTTTCAAGTATTTTATAAGATGAGTGAATTCCTTAGTGGTGAATTCGGTATTCCTGTTACTATACTTGTGTCTCATCATGGCATGAGATGATAAAGAGAGCTTTCTCTATTCAATGTCTCTGCTGCCATTAATTTCCATAATCTTGCAAGGCTCTCGAGTATGATTTTTTTGGTTAACCAATGGGAAGCTGCCCCGTGGCTGTAGCTTCCTTCTCTTAGTAGCTACTTGCAGTTTATTTTTTATTTTTATTTTTTTGAATAATCTTCTACGATGTCTCGGAATTTGAGCAAAACGAGTTTTCCAGGTTTCCTGAAGATTATTTCAATCATGGTTTAGTATCCCTTGGATAGTTGATGAAGGAAGGAAAATGTCATTTAGGGTTAGTTGCATTTTCCTCATTTTGCAAAGCTTAATTGAATAATGGCATACATACTCTACATTTTTACGCAGTCTTTAGTGGCCCTGGTTGAATACTTGTTTGAACAAAATATTTGGTGTGGTTTTTGAAAATCTAATATATTAATCATACTTCGTATTAAATAGTGCAACTCTACATCCTACTTCTTTCTATTATTGCTGCATTTTTCGCCTTTTCCGGCTTCTGAAATCTGGATATTCGACTTGCCAATGCTCAACCAATTGTAAGCTGCCAATGTTCATTTCTCAAAGGTTCAGTTTTTTAAATGCATGGTCCTTGCTTTAAATTTTTTCCTGGAATCATGTTTAGTCACTTCCATTACCTGTGCAGAATTGTGCACCACTTTTTTCATACATGCAACATATCTTAGCCGTATTTCACTTTTTTCCGTCTCTATAATGTTTCAGCTTCTTGATCGGTAGTTGGTCTATGATTACACTGCATAATTTCGCGGAAGAAATCTATGTTGATGCTTAGTCTGAGAGCTCATATCTTTTGAATGATAGGCCAGAAAAAAGGTTGTGTATTATAGGCCATTCATGACTTTAACTTTTGTAATATTGTTTATGGAAATTAATATTCTCACTTCACAACCAAATTCCTACAAGAAAATTGGGAGTCAATTTTTTGGAATAATATTTTAGAATCTGTACAAGCATATCAACTTGACTTATCGGTTCTTTTGTAGTCAAATTTTTTTTTTTTTCTTTGTAATTTTGTATTGATAGTTCGTTGTTGGATCTGATATCTCAAGTCTGGTTCCCTCTAGAGGAACTTGAGATTCCTGAAAATTGTTACAGACTACGAATCAGTAAATGAGTATATTATAATGTAGGTCTGTTGTTATTTCAGCACATGTAATTGCCTTGTCGCAGGTTTTACCACGTCATGTCAGATGAGCAAGTCCTTTGGTGGGGAATTAGGTCTGCCGGTTTTGTTAGTCAATAGAATCCAATTTCAGAAACAACTTGGTTGACATTAGACTTGCTAAGTTAGTTAAACTATCTGCAACTAGACCTAAAATAGGTCTCACCTGTCAGCTGATATCTTGTTTGGGTTGCCGAGTTTGGCCCAGGT